AAAATGCCAGAGTTAGTTAAGAAAATGTACTGCTGGATTGGTAGATCATGTCTATTTCTTGTGCTCCATGGCCAGTTATGTGGGGTTGTCCTGCCACGTGTATGTTCCCTGTGCAATCCAAGTGCAACATACTTCATAAGATGCTTCCATGCTTCCTTTGTGGAGAACCCTCCATGCCAACACATCTACCTTGTGGAGCTTTTGCTACCTGTCCTGTGCTTCTGTAAATGCAAAATTGTGTTGCTGCACAAATGTGCTGCTCTCTTACAAGTCCAGGCAATATTAGGAGCACTCAAACTTTTTTATTAGTTTATACATATGCTAGAAAGTAGGATTTGCATCTGCAGAAGTCACTGAGAGAAGTGGGCTTTCTGGGCACAGGAGGGGTTTTTGGTTGTTTTTTATTTTACCCTAGACGTGGAGACAGATGGGAGTGCTACTTAGCAGCCTATGTGTGTATTGAAATTGTGACTGGATACATCTATATCTCAGAAAAACTGTCTTAACAGCATGCTACCCCATATAGTGTTACAGCCTCATTATATTCTCAAAAATATTTCACAGTGCATGAATTCATACGTATTAAGTAATCATAAATAAGTCTAAATTACATATGCCCAGAATAATGAGCAAAAAGCCTATCTGTAGATTTATGTATTACTTTTTTTTCTATTAACTTTCCACTAATGTCCCAATTTAGCAGCTAGTCTGTATTGGTCAGTGACCCATCTGCTGCCAAAAGCCACTGCTGCTTTCTCAGGGTGCAGGAGCCATCCCACACCCCTCTGCTATACAGCTAATGCACGTGTAGCAAGAGTCTGCTAGCAAGGTGCTGTGGTGTGTTACACATGGCAATTTAGGAGCTGCTCAGTACTCGACGAGCATAGTCCAACTTTTATTGCTGAAATCTTATGAAACTTCTGTTTTGCTTTTAATGGATCAATAATGTTATGTTATTAGCAGAAATTACCTTTTGGAAGAAGTCTGAAAAGGAAGAAGGCAAATAATTCATAAATTTAGAGCTTGGATGTAGTCTCCTTGTCAGCTGTGTTACTGCAAACATAAAACATTCGCAGCACGCTTTGACCGAGTCACTCTCGCACAGCCCATATATTCAATTTATCTCATTTTATTTTCCCTCTTTTCCACTAAGGTGCAAGTTGTGCCTTTGTCACTTCCTCATCCTTCCTTCATTGCCCTAGGAGAAAGCTCAGGCTTTGGCAGTGGTGGGGACTGGTGCGCGTTGCTGCCCTCGTGGGCTTTCCCCTCTGTTTTCTGTAAGGAGCTGGGTTTGAACGCGCTGCCTGTTCTCCCCCACAAACAGCAGGTTACACTTTCAAAGCGACTCGTGTTTTTCAGTTCCCATCCTCTTTGCCATCTGTCTATAGATCTAAGTAAGCAGTCTGTTAGGATTTACTGATAAAGATTTTATTTATTAAGATTTTTTATTTAATGGGATTTTCAATCTTCCACTCTTTGATCCATGTTTGAAAAAATATTAAATAGTGGCAATCCATAGCTGCCTTGTAACTAGATCACATTCACTTAACCCAGGAAAGAATGATTTCTAAAGAACTTCTGTCTCACAAGAGCTTAGTAGTTGTCTTGTTTATTATCTTGCTGTGGTTAAAACTGCCGCAGTAGAGGGGGAAGAAAAGAAAAATTGTTAATGCAGTTGTTCATGTGGCTTGCCCTAGATATTATCATTATAATTTTTTAATTTTTGTTTGGGTTTTTTTTTTCCTAATGAGCAGAAGCAACTATGAAAGGAGAAAATGCTGAAAACAAACAGTACAACTATAAATAAAGTGAATTCTTTTCATGTGATGAAAGTCAAGGGAAAAACCTAGCTCAGTATGTTCTGGCTTCTTGACACTCAAGGTGTGATCAGAGATTACTTATCATCCACAGGAGAGTGGGAAGCAAGTTAATTAAAATTTTTCCACCCTTCCACTGAATGAAATGTCTCCCAGTTTGAGATGCATTATTTGAACACTTCTTTTTCAGCAGAGCTCTGGCACGTACTTTCTGCTTCTGCTGGTGTTCGAATCCAGTATTTGCTAGCTAGAAAGAGCACTGCAATTTCATTTTATGAAACTGTATGTTGGATATTTTATTTCCATTGTCTCAAATAATAGTAGATAAAATAATTTTATTTATTGTGTTAAATATAAAATGAATACAAGATTACTCTTTTCGTATGCACCCGTCCCCCAATGTATTGTTTATTTAGAATCATTTCTGCTTGGAAAGCATTTAATATGACACCAATTAAAGGTCTGTATAACCGTG